TTGCTGCCTGCGGAATCCTCCCTGCCGTGATGCTGCCCTGGGACTCCAGCACAGGGCGCCTGGGAGTATCCTGGGATAAGCAGCGCCTTGCAAACCTGGTTAAGTGATCTCATGTGTCTGTGTGGCCAAACACTGCCAGACTCAAGCTGAAAGGACACGGACCTGTCTGCTGACCTTGACGCTTTATCTTCTTTTGTATTTTGAATTCTTTGAGAATCTTTTCTCATTTGTAGGCCCTTTTCCAGGAGAACACGCAGAACACGCACATGCATGTGACCTTGTTTTACATGCAATCTTGGACCCGAAGGTATCTTTGTGGGTGATAGCAACAGCGAATATTTCTTCTCACCTGCTCTCTGGCTGAGGAATTCAGCAGCACCTCGCCTGCATGCTGGGCATGATGTCTCCCAGGAGATGACAGCGCTGTCATCTGAAGGCTTGGCCAGAGCCCAGAGTAGCTGAATGACATACCGGGTCCTGGTAGCTTAGTGCTAGCTGCGAGCAAGAGGCAGGGTGCAGACCTCTGGTGGGCTGCTCTGGTGTCCCCACTACGGCATGTGGCATTTGGCATTCCTCAAAGTGAGTGATCTGGAGGAGCAAAGAGGAACCCCTTTGTCTCCCTGTGGCCTGCCTTTGATGCCCCACACCACTGTTACTGCATTTCCCGTGGGCCACGCAGGTCAGTGCTGATCAGCTCAGTCGGCGAGGTATGGTTGGGGATGTTTGGAGCTCTCTGTAACCCAATGAGACTCCTGACTGTGGCCAAGAGTTGCTATATGGAACTTTACTCCATGGACATGATTGATTAAGTCATTGGCCATTGATGATTACCCTCCATCTCTAGACCCCTGTGCTGTTCCTGCCGATCTGGGTGGGGCTGAAGGGTCTAGCTAGGTATAGCCAGGTCTGTCCATGAAACCATGGAGGGGCTCACTTTGAATTGTAACATTAGCATCCTTCTCTTGTGTGGCTCACTTGATATAAGAAAAGCCTCCTGCCATTTGGGCAATTTCAAGAGATTTAAGAACTCCCAGCCAGGAACCAAGAATAAGATATAGATAGTTATTATAGTATAGTAGTGAATGCAGAAGAAATTTTACATAGCCATCACGCATTCTTTTTATTTTTGGTTTTTTATGTTTTTTTTTTTTTTTTTTATTTTTTTTTTTTTTTTTTTTTTTTTCTTGTTATAAAACTAGGCCATATTCCTTGCTGAAGATTGGGGAAGGAAGTAAAATCTAAAGAAGGAAATAAAAGTCATTTGGCATCTTATCATCTAGTACTATTTTATTCCTTTTTGCATAATTTTGTATAACACTCTGATCTTTCTTTTTACATTACAGAAGTAGTATTTGCTTACTGCGAAGTGTCCAGAGGGGACAGAATGTCTAAAGTCAGTCATTTTTTGAAAAAGTGACCTTTCCCTTGGGAAGTTCCAAGAGATGTAAGAACTCAGGGCAGGAAGAGCCGTCTCCTGCTGCACTCTGAGGAAGGTGGGAGGGGCGGAGAGTCCAAGGATGCCCTGGGCAGGCCCTGGACCTGGTCACTCTGAAGGTGACGGAAGTCAGGGAGAGCCAGCAGAGGGACACTGCCGGGGCAGAGTGGAAAGGATGTGAAGCTCTCAAGAAAGGAGAGTTCATCTTTATCTCTATGTTAGCGTCTACTTTCTAAGAATAAGCACTGCTTTCAGAGATCAAAGGCACGAGGTGAAACTTAATAAGCAGGCACAGGTGAGGCCGAGTGTGAAAGTACAATTCTTTGTCTATTTACTTGACAGGGCCACTTCCGGCTGAACAACTTGTCTTGACCTAGCTGCCCCGACTCTTTCGGGCCACCTGGCGCTGTTTACCTCTCCAGGGGTGGGATGCGTATGATCCGCCCATGAGTGCTTTCCTCAGATCTGCCAGTAGAGCGCTGTGGGGTAGACACATGGTTGTACCGCGGTGGGCTCTGTTGGCCGGGCCTCAGCTCCTTGGTTTGGACCAGGAAAGGGGAGAGGAGAGTGCGACTGTCCTGAGCCTAACCATTGCAGCATTTCTAGAGGGGAGGAGCACAGAGCCAGTGAGAGCCTTCACTTAGGGTGCGATCTTGCATTTGGTCACTGGCTGGCACCATCTAGGCGGAGAGATCATAAAACAGCAGTTCTTGACCCAGACACACCCAGTTCGAGTCACCTGAGGCGCTTATGAAACTCCTCATGCAGGGCTGTGCCCCCATCGATTGTGCTGGGGGAGGGGAGCGGGGCAGCCCAGCCAGCACTGTTATCCCTCCCCCCCCCCCCCCCCCCCCCCAGAGCCGGGGATAGGACTCAAGCAAGCAATTATTCTCCTGCACTCTATCTCCCCAGCCCTGTTATTCTAAAAGCTCTCCAAGTGGCTCCGTGATTCCAGTATGGGTGCAGAGGCGGGGAGTAATTCTTAATGAAGACCTGCCTGCCTCCAGCCCTGTCATGGTGGGCGAGGTGTGGTCGTCCCTGATTTGTCATCGGGCGCTGAAGTGCAGAGGAGACCTAAGTAAGTGGTGTGATTGCTTTCAAAGCGTTCTGCATTTCAGAAGTACTGCAGATGTTCGATTCAGTTGTCACTCTGAGTGTGTGTGTGTGTGTGTGTGTGTGTGTGTGTGTGTGTTTATGTATGCTTTTAAATTCCTACAAAGAGTACATATAACTGTTACACACCGAATTTTAACATACGGAAAATGACTAATGAGTTGTCTTCTCTCTGTGGCTTTAAATACAGGGGCGAATGCCATCAATCAGAATGTATCAGATTGAGATATGACTGTGATTTTGTTCTATTTATTTGTCCCCTCCTCCTGCTTTTTTTTTTTTTTTTCTTTTTTCATTTTTCCTGCTTCTGCTGGAGCAAAGATGGACTTCTGTGTTCTATTTAGGGAGCAGGGAGTCTACATGAATAACAGTTCGGGAGCCACAGACCTTTCCTTTCGTGGCTGTGGTGTTTCAGTCTAGCACCCTGCGTATTAGATCAGTTTCCTTTGGGTACAGCTGCCGCTGGGCTGGGCTGGGCTGGGCTGGGCTGAGCTGGGCGCTACCTCCCAATAGGCTGGGAGTGCCCTGCCTGTATATCAGCTGGATCCACAGCACATAGGTTTATGCTGGACAGCTGCCCAGCCCTTGGGGTGAAAGGCAAGTTCTGGTGGCTGTGGGCTGTGGCTCTGGGTGGAGCTGGCCAGCCTTAGAAAGCTTCCTTGGCAGAGGCCGCCGAAATACCTCCGAGCAGTCAGTGGCTAGAGCCTGCCGTCTGGCCCCAGAATGTTCTGGACAGTTGGGGTCCTAGCGCCCAGCTTTCTGTTGTGGGTAAATTGTGTGCTGGTCCCTGTGCTGGGGGCTTGAGAGAGATCCTCTTATCCACTTAAACTTTGCTGTCACTTGTTGCCACATGTGTTATTCTTCCCATCTTGCACTTGAGGAAACTGAGGCTCAGAGACGGCAAGCAACTTCATGTGTTCAGTGTCACAGCTAATAAGTGACAAAGCCAGGACTGGAACTCAGGCTAGTCCTCTGCGAGGCCTTTGAAACCATTTGATGGGTGAGATCAAGGTCCGGAGAGGAAAAGCGGCTAAGTTGATGCAGCTGGTTCTGATTCATGGCCACTTCTGTGACAGGCGCTAACATGGTCTTCCTGCTTCCCTGCTGTGCCTGGATGCCATGTGGTGCAGGTGCAAGCAATGGTGTGCTGGTGTATTGATCCATTTTCTGTTTCTGTAACAATATACCTGGGGCTGGGTACTTTATTTTTAAAAGAGGGTTATTTAGCTCATAGTTTGAGAGACTGGAAGTCCAATACTGTTGGCCCGTGTTCCTACCTCTGCTGAGAGCCCACTGGCACACCACAGCCGTGGATGGCATCATGACAGGAGTGTGTGCAGAGGGTGAGATCACCAGAGACAGGAAGCAGACCACCCGGGGCCCCATCTTTCTTTTTGTAACAAGCCCCTCTTGTTAAAGCTAAGTCCTGCGACCAGAGGTAATCCCTTTGTGGGCAGCACCCCAGTGACCTCGATATCTTGCGCCAGGCCCCATTGGTCTACCACATCATCACATGAGGACCAGGCTTCTAGCATATGAGCCTCTGATTGGACTTAAACAGGGGCAGGTGTATAGGGTGGGAACCTGGACTCAGCGCTGTGACTGTGCTCCAGGATGGGATACCATGTGAGGAGGCCTCGCGGGAGGGCAGGCGGAAGTGACCTCGGTGAGCGTGTGTCGGCAGGAAGGGTTGGGATGGGGAGTGGAGTCACAGTGAGTGAGAGCTGCGGACTTGGACAGGAGTCTGTTCCAGGCAGTGCTCTGCTCTGTCCGTTACCCCTTTGGTAGTTGGTGGGAGTCTGGGCCCCAGGATCTGCTCCAGCCCTTCACATTCCTGTTTCCGAGTGTATGCTCAGCCAAAGTTGGCAGCAGGCCCTTTGCAGAGCTCCACTCTGTGCCTCCATTTATGGAAGGAAGAGGCACGAGGAATGCCCCTTGGGTGGTGTCAGGAGGAGCTGCGTTGGAAAGCGAAGAGTGCAGCCCCTGTATACGGTCAGGCGTCAAGGCCCCCCAGCAGGGCCACTTACCAAGGAGGTAGCGCTGAACTCAGCCACATGGTAAGGCAGTTGCTTTTGTTTTCATCTGGATCTGTGCCAAGGACTTGACTTTTTCTGTTCATTTTATTAAAAACTTTATAAACAGCGTTAATAAGTAGATATAAAAATGCTGCATAAATGACAGAGGGACTCAGTGAAATTCACAAGGGTCAGCTATTGAATAACAAAACCACGTCCTTGCACCGTCAGATTCCTATATATGCAAATTAGAGACAGTGCTTTTACCACAGTGTTTTAATTAATATTTATAAATCACAGAGCGCCTCTGAAAGGGCCAGTAAGCTGTTCATGTGATTATCACGTTACACAAACCACAGACGCTCTGGAGATTGCTGCCTGTTTTGCATTTTGGCCTGAGGAGTAAGTGAGCATGTTATGTGTGTGTGTGTCCCCAGGTGTGGCGTCTGCACAGCGGCAGGTCACTGTCCAGGAGGGACCCTTGTACCGCACGGAGGGCTCCCACATCACCATCTGGTGCAACGTGAGTGGCTACCAGGGCTCCTCCGAGCAACACTTCCAGTGGTCCATCTACCTGCCCTCGGCCCCTGAGCGCGAGGTGCAGATCGTCAGCACCATGGACTCCTCCTTCCCGTATGCCATCTACACCCAGCGTGTCCGCGGGGGGAAGATCTTCGTGGAGAGGGTCCAGGGGAACTCGTCCTTGCTGCACATCACAGACCTCCAAGCCCGGGACGCAGGGGAGTATGAATGCCACACGCCCAACACGGAAGAGCGGTACTTCGGGAGTTACAGCGCCAAGATGAACCTAGTGGGTAAGGAGAGGCCGCTTCTGCACGCCCCGTGCCAGGCCGTAATCTCTTCTCTCATGGTACGCCTGCCTCTGTTTTGTATCATGCACTGACTTAAACATAAGACAGCAAGACGCGAGGTGCTGTAGAGGTCACCAGGTAGCATAAGCAAATAAACTTTCTGCTCTCACCCGTTTGTAGTACAAGCTTGAGGCTGAAACCGTAGAAAGACCTAATGCTCATGGTAAGAATTTCAGAGGTTGTTAATGCTCTTACTGGTGAAAGGGGATACAAAAATACAAGGGAAAGACATTTGGGATAATCTGAAAAGAGGACGTGGAAGATAAAACATGTAAAATCAGCTGGCAGAGTGGCAGACCCCACACAGGCCACGGAAAACTGCCCTTCTCACCCCCGAAGGTTGGAGTCAGCCCAGGACAGACAAATTAATTGGAGAATGGTGAGAATAGTTACACAGACGTGTCAATGTGCAGTGGGGAGACGCGCAGGAGAGGGCCTTCCCGGCCATGCCGTGGAGCCCGGTGCTTCTCAACCCTTCTCCCGAGGGAAGAGGGAGGCGAGGAGCACAGCGGTTCTGAGCGTGAATGAACTAGCAGTGCTCAGATAATAGCGGATGATGCTCTTTGGAAATTGAATGGACCTAGGAGACACACACTTTGTGACAGAGTCTGCTTGGGTTACATCCTTTAATCTTCCTCCCCGTGGACAGGAGTTCAGTTAATGAAAACTCCGGAAAGGGAACAAAGGTAATTACTTTCTTCTGTGGCAGGACTAGGCTTTAGGTAGATAGGGGGATGTCACACAGATTCCTTTCAGCATCTGCTGCTCCCCGTGGCCTTATTTAAAATGCTCAGCCCCTAGGTCGCTGTATTTGGGGTGAATTCTGTGGGCTTCTCCACGTCTCAGGAGGACCTTTAGGCCAGCTCTGAGAGAGCTGAGCGCAGCTGAGTCAGGAAGAGCGTGTGACCCAGGCCCTCGCTCAGACCTCTGGCCCCACAGGAGCTGTCCTTTGGGCAGCCCTGGCCACAGTGTTTGCTGATGCGAGAGGGTTAACAGTCTCAAGGCTTTTTTTCTTTATCTGCTTGTCTTAATTTCTAGTTCTTATTATCACAGTTGAGCAGGGCACATTGGTGTTTCTTTTTTTTTCTCTCATAAGCCTGTATCCTACCCACGAGTGCTGTAAAAGCTCATCCTGGGTGAGTACAGGGAGAAAACACGGCAGTGTGACCAGCGTGACAGATGGGGGTGGGGCTTAGACTCCGGAAGGCAGAAGCCTCAGGGTGAGGCTGCAGCCAGAGACTGCAGGACACGTGTCGCAGGCCTGAGTTCTCCCAAGCGTGGCTTCTTCCAGGGTGGACTCCTTTGATGAATTATATAAAATACAACTTGTGAAAAGAGGGGACCATGGTGATTTTTCTCTACCAAGAAATATTTTAATGTTAAAAAGAAAATAACCTTGCACTCACAAAGTATTGCTGGGGAGAGTGGGAGAACAGGGAGAGGTGGGGTGCGTAAGTGGAGAAACAGTGAGGAGGATCTGGGGAGCCGGAAGTCCCCGGAGCCGCTCCTCTTTGAAGATCAGCCAGAAGTGAAGTGCAGGTATTTCAGAGCAGTGCTAAAGTCAACAACAACTCTTATTAGGCTTAAAAGAAAATTATTCTGACAGTGTTTTCAGGAAGCCCATTTATCAGTTAAACTTTCGAAATGTTTGATCCGAGCATTATTAAAATATCAAACAGATAATTATAAGTACCAGAAAAAAAGCACCTTAAAACTGCATTATACATTAACACAAAGTCTTGCTGTATATGTGCCTTTGGGGGTTACCTGTCACCTGAACTGCCTGTCAGAGGCTGTCCCACCAGGCTGCCTGCTCCCACAGGTCTCGAGTTCTATGCTTTGTGACCGTGTGCTCTTGGGATGTTCTCTGTTTCAGTGATCCCGGACTCGCTGCAGACAACCGCAGTGCCCCAGACTCTGCACAAAGTGGAGCAGGACCCGCTAGAGCTCACTTGCGAGGTGGTCACGGAAACATTCCAGCACAGCCACCTGTCTGTGGCCTGGCTCCGACAGAAAGGTGGTGAGAAGCCGGTGGAAGTCATCTCCCTGAGCCGGGACTTTGTGCTGCAGTCCAGCAGTGAATACGCCCAGAGGCAGAGTCTGGGGGAGGTGCGGCTGGACAAGCTGGGGAGAACCACCTTCCGCCTCACCATCTTCCACCTGCAGCCTGCTGACCAGGGCGAGTTCTACTGTGAGGCTGCTGAGTGGATCCAGGATCCTGATGGGTCGTGGTATGCCATGACCCGGAAGCGCTCTGAGGGGGCCGTGGTCAACATCCAGCCCACCGGTCAGTCTCCCTGGACTTCTGCTTCCTCCTGTACTTTACCACAGGGGAGGGCCGTCAGTGACCTAGAGGGTGTGCAGACACTGCCTTCGGTGACCTGTAACCATAGAGAAAGTTGCCAGGCCAAGTCAGAGATGGTGCTGCCTTAGTCAGAAGGCACTGCAGGGTGTATCGGACACAGGTCTCCTAAGACCTGATCCTCGAGCAAATTATAGACAGGTGCTACCCCAGCCGAGTCCTGCTTATTCTCTTGTTTTCTTTGTACAGAGTGTTTTTCATCTTTCCAAGTAAGAAATTTATTGAAGAGTTGAGCGATTTCACAGCAACCGTTTGTGTCTTGTGCCTCTGGGTCTCCATTCCTATTAGGCACAGCCACTGCCCTGGTTGGTGGTGTTGCTTCCGCAGTTTCGTTTGTAAATGACATTTGAGATTGTGAATCTGCGATTACAGCTATAAAATGATGGACGCTAGAAATTAGGATTACATTATTATCTTGTGTTAGTACTTCCCTAGAGGTGTAACTCCAAAATGCTGTATCACATATTGTCATTGTCTCTTAGGATGTCCTTGAGGTAGGTAGGTAGTGGCATCCCCATTTCATAAGTAAGGATGAGGATGCTGCGTGCAGAGGACTTTATGACAGGGCTCCAGGGAGAGTCACTGTGCTGCTAAGCCTGTCCAGAGAGTGCTAGGTCCTCCTGTAGATGGTTTCTCCAGGGAGTGCCTGGCTAGACGCCCTGAGGAAGCCGTGTGAGTGTTTAGGGCTGGTGGCTTGGAGAGCTGCAGACCTCTCTGGCTCCCTTTAGTGTCTCCCATGACCCCTGAGCTTTGTGAGCTCCAAGTCAGAGCTGACAGTTTTTGTTCCTGCCTGGGCTGGACTGGGCTGGGAGGTAGGTGTCCTTTGGCCCATCAGTCTCTAGCTCTGGAAGGTGGTCATGGTGCTGTTATTAAGAAATCCAAGTGGACCATGCACATGGGTCCTTGTGTTGGTGCTTCCCTCTAGTGAGGGCAATGGCAGTCCTGGCGAGGGAGTAGAGGACTGTGGGTCATCATGATGGGGTCTGCATGCCAGGACGTGGTACTCACTCCTTGTCGCATTTGCTAGTGAGTTTTAAAATTTTATTTATTTTTTATGTATTTGGTACAGGGTCTTTACTCAGCTCATAGTGATTACTCATAGTGATCCTCCTGTTTCAGCCTCCCCAGTGCTGGGCTCAAACTTGTGCATCGCCACGCCTGGTCTTGGGGGCCAGCTCAGTGCCACCAGGGTGGGGCTGGCATGGCATGTGGTGCCAGGGATCAAATCCAGGTCCTTGTGCTTTCCTAAGCAAGTGCTTAGACCTCTGCGCTATCTCTGTGGCCCTGCTAATGAATTTTGTGGGTCTTGGCCTGGTGCCATTCACATTGAAGACCTGGGCTTCAGACTCACAGTGGACCTCCAGGGCTTTATCCCAGAAGTCCTAAGGCAGAGAAGCTGGGTTCCCACTGCACTGCCCAGGTGATGACTTTTGCCGTCTACGTTTTATCCAGCACAGCTCTAAAGGGAATGAGGCAGGAGCGTGTCTCAGGAAAGCTCATGGCCATCACCTCACTAGAGGACTGGTTCTCAGGTAGGAGCTTGATCTTCTCTAGGACCCAGGGCTCTTTGCAGCTTCTGGAGCTCCTGGTATTAGAAAGTCTTCTGAAGGAGCTTTATTTCCTATTTACCATTTTCCTTGCTGGATGGTTTGAAGATCAGCTTCAAAAGTCTGGACTAAATTTTGAGTCTTAATGCCTTTTAAATTAGGTTGCATCAGTTAATCTTCTTTATTTTAATCTTACCAATTTGGAATTAGGGCTTTTTGAATTTACCCTCCAAATGTATCTAAACTAAGCCAGCAGAGGGAAGATTTAATGAAAGGAAAAGGGTGGCAACCTGACTTTGTGTTGACGTTCAAGCTCAGTGGTTGCATCCCCAACTTTACCCTTCTTTTAGTTCATGTTGGTAATAGGTCATCAGTCCCTGCCGCACTGCAGGTGTGGCGTGGGGCACCTGGAGGGGCCAGATGAATGATCTTGCTCCCTGCACTTGTCCTTGTGAACGTGAGAGCCAGTGGCTGAGCAGGAAGTGCAGAGTGCTGTAGTGGAGCCTCCAGAGTCCTCTGGGACACAGCAGATATAAAGGTTCTTGCTCTTCTAAGTTTTCCCTGTGTGGGAACATTGTTAAGTCAAATCCAGTAACTCTTGGACAACTAATGACTTGGGTGGTTTCAGCAATGTTATCTGATTATTCGGCAAACAGAAAAGTCAAGTATGACTAGATGCTGAGCTCTGGATTTGCACTGTGGGAAAAGAAAAGGAAGGAAGGAAAGGTAGCCAAAGCCCAAATACTGAGAAGTGGGGCTGGGGTTCACTCTGTGGACCAGTTTTACAGCTGCTCTTCGTACCTTAGCAGCCCTTGGAAGGGCCTGAGGCCGTGCACCTAGGCTGGGAGCCTGGAGCTGGGGCTGGGCCTGGGGCATCGAGGTTCTTTGAACTTGAAGGGAGGGGAAGGACATGTGAGGTGCTGTGGCAAAGTCTCTGCCTTCCTATTAGTGGCAGCTCTGGTTGTCTTGTTTTGTAAATTTCAGTCAAGGAATCTGTTCCTGGAGTTGCTCAGAACCTTTGATCTACAGAACCACAAAAGAAAAACAGAGTGTGCATTGTGTTATGGCGTGGGCTACCTGGAGCTTGGGGAGGGAAAGCCTCCAAGCGAGGAAGGCCCAGGGAAAGCCTCCTGGGCTCAGAACAGCAGAAGGAAGGGCACGTGGCAGGGCCCAGTGAGAGAGAAGTACAAAACGGCCGCACAGGTAGGAGGACACGCAGGAGGGAGGGGTCATGGAACCCAAGGGAGGACCAGGGTGCAGAGGTGGGGCACACCAGTGCCATTTGTTAGGTCAGTGACTTGTTGCAGGAGAAGGGCCAGAGGCCAGATTTCAATGAGCTAACAAGTGAGGCCTAAATGCATTTCCAGTGGGTTGGCTGGGCACTGCAGAGAGCGAAGTGCTCTGCAGAAATGGCATGACGTAGATCTTCAGCCTGGAGATGGGAAGGTGCCTGAGCTACAGTGGGCTCCCCTGGGTAAGAAGTGTTCTTGGTTGCCCAAAGCAGGAGAGCCACCATTGTGCCAGTTCTGGGTCATGCTGGCATGTCCACACTGGCATTTATGTAGAAGGAGTGCCTTTTAGCCTTGATGTTGGGTTACAAATTACTATACTTTGGTTGACCCAAGAGCTAATAACAGAGAGCAGATAGCATGGGTTCATTCATCGAAGAGGCTGCAACAGAGGAAAGCCTGCTTCTTCCAGCCACGTCTCCAGGTCTGGGCTCTTGGAGAGGGAAGGAAACAGTGGTGGCTAACACGTGGCAGGAAGCTTGAAATACAGAAAAGGAGAGGAGGAGTGCTAATGGCGGTGATGGAGGGCAGGGCTGTGAGGTCCAGCGAGGGCGGGCGGGGGCAAGAAGAGTGAGGCAGCCCGCGCACATTCCTGTGTACTTCAGGGAAACAGGGTTTTATTTGCTCAATGAGAGATGTGGCCTGGAGTGAATGAGCCAAGGGTCCTGAAGCTGCTGGAAAATCCTACAAGTGCCAAATGGGGAGGGCAGCTGTGACGGGGGCTGAGGAATCTATCGGGGGTCGACATGCTGCTGTGCTGACCTCTCAGTGTCTTCTCCAGAGAAGCAGAGCTAGAACTACAAGGAAGGATTTGGGCCAAGGTCACAGCTATCCCCCTGCAGCCAGTGCTCAGTTTCTTGGGCACAGGTTTCCTCTGACCCCCATCTTCCTTCTCTTTCCCCTCACTGTTCCTGTGGGGCACCTCTGAGCTTGGGTAACCTTCTCGTAAGTGTATAGTCACCATGTGCCACCATCACCTGGAATACTGTTGGGGACCAGGTTCGTGATGGGTCCTTCTTGGGTCTCCCCCTTCTGCCTGCCTCTTTGAAGAATGTTTGGGCTCCTTGATCATTTCAGAGGCCACCTGACCGTCAGTTAAGTGGGTAGTGCCCCACTCCACCCACGCTAGCAGGTGGCAGACCAGTGACAAGACGCTGCCTCTTATTTCCCCAAGTAATGCCATCAGGGTTCCT